CAGAATGCACGTCAAGGAGCAAAGTGGGACGAAAGATCTAGAAGACACACGTGGGCCCTGGCATGTGAAGAATTAAGGCCATATCGCCAGCAGGTGTCTCATTTCCTGCAGAACGGGCTGCACCTGGATAAAAGGGCCCCGGTGGCAGTGCTCCTCATTCACTCACTGCTGCTCCTTTGCACCAGGCCTTCTTCTCAAACAAGGTAAGTCTGATTATTTGCATCTATCCTAATCTTCCCGAGCAGAAGGTTTCACATGATGTTTTCGGTGCAGACTCCTGATTTTTTGCATCATTTCATAGAAGGGTCTTCTCCCAAAGCCACATTGTTACTGCCTGAGTGTGTGCTTGACCTGCTGCCACAGACCCTTTGACCACGCTAGCAGGACCACACAAGATGGGAAGGCTGAAGGCTGGGAGCTCCCAAAGCAGGGTGGCCAGCAGGAAAACAGAAATCCAGACCCACTCCATGGGAAGTCCTCCCTCCATGGCAGGGTTTTTTCACTGGCTGGAGTCCCTGGGTCAGCAGGGAGACCTCCTAGACGTGCTCTAAGAAGCATCCTCATGGGATTCACGTCTCCGCTAGGCCAGAAATGGATGGGAAAAGAGTTCTCTGCGCTCTACAGAGAACAGGAAAGGGAGATGGAGGCAGGTCCTTCCTGGTTCCTCTCTCACAGACGGTCTCTTTCTTGCAGCTTTGCCTACGCCAGAAAGATGTGCTCCCACGGGTCCTGGCACAACCGCCCCGAGTCCTGCCACAACCGCCACAGGTCCTGCCATGGCTCCAGCTCTGACTGCCATGAATCCAGACCCTCCTGCAATATCATTGTGGTAGAGAAGCCATACTGCTGCCCCGTGCAGCGCTACTGTCCACCCGTGTCCTGCTGCTACCCAGGCTACCAGTATTCGCAGTGCTGCAAGTTCCCACAGTACCCCAAGTACCCACAGTACCCCAAGTAGGAGACACGGCTCCAAGAAGACCTTCATGTTCTACTCGTCCCATTATGGAGGTGGTCCCAGTGCCTACTGGTCATCTGGTCTTGTTTCACAGATTGTAATTTCCTGTTTTCTTTCATCTTTGATTGTCTGTAACCTGCTCTGAAGATGTGCCCACTGCTGCCCCGTGCCGCGCTACTGTCCACCCGTGTCCTGCTGCTACCCACGCTACCAGTATTCGCAGTGCTGCAAGTTCCCACAGTACCCCAAGTAGGAGGCAGCACCAAGACAAAAGCCAAGACCTGCTTGATCCGTGCTTCTTCTTGTGGAGATGACTTCAGTGCCTCCAGCTCATCTCAGCTTCTTTGATGAAATGCAGATTCTCTCCTCTCCTGTCCTCTCCCATTTGCTTAACCCATGACTACACCTAATATGCTTTGAAGATCTACCTACAGAGCAAAGCTGAGTTCTTAATAAGGACCATCATTAATGATATTTGTGCTCATTGACGATGGAGAAGTTCTGTTGTTGAGAATATTTTTTCCCTGTCCTGCTTCAGTTTCCAACCAGATCTGCCACACAATAAAATAATCATTCACAACAGCAGCATTGTCTTTTGCTTTCTTTTACTGTCATTCTGTTACCCCTTCCGAGTCTGTGATGCATCCACTCTTGGAAGTGGATTGCCCTCTAGAGATGCATGGACACCTCCCTTGTCCAGAAACAGAAGCTTCCCCACAGTCTCTTTTCCTGCATATTCCAGAGCTCCTTTGTATTGCAGAGAACAGAGAGACACGGTGCCTTGGGAAATCATTGAGTGCACCCTGGCTCCAAGTCAGGACCAAGGACACCCAAATAATTCCTGAGAGAGGCTTGTTTGGTCTACTTCTATAAGTAGTTATAAAAGTGATAAAAACACATCTAGCTACCTTGGCTAATCTGCAAGGTGCAGATCTACCCTGCTTCCTACTTGACTTCAGACTAACATCATTAACTGTCTCTCTACTTTTCAGAGCCACAAAATTGGAGATGACACAGAAAACCCCACTAATCTGTTGCAGGGCTGAACCCCTCTTACCTTTACAAGGCTCCTACATCTCTGCTGTACATGTCAAGATCCATTTGTCACATCCATCTCTGCAGCAACTTTTGCTGTTTCAGGAGCATAACCCTTCTCAGTCTTCTCTTCTCTAGACTGAACTAGACACATCTCTCAGTCATTCCTCAGATGTCATGGGACAGAGAAATCCCATGCACTGGTACAGGCTGGGGGCTGACTGGCTAGGCAACAGATCTACAGAAAAAGACCTGGGGATGACAGTGGACAAGAAGCTGAATATGAGCCAACAGTGTGCTCTTGTTGCCAAGAAGGCTAACAGCATCCTAGGCTACACTGGTAGGTGTGTTGCCAGTACGTCAAGAGAAGTGATTATTCTATTCAATAGGCTAGTGCAAATAGGGAAATATTCAATTCGGATTTGGATTCACCTGATTCAGAGGACAGTAATTTGATTCAGAGATTCGGATCACTGTCCCAAATCGATTTGACTGAATCTGCTTTGGAAGATTTGGTGCTGATTCGGAGAGATTAGGTGATTCAGATTGGCTGGGGAGAGGCAGATGCCGACAAGCAGCTGCAGGTTCTCCCATGGCTCCTGGGGGGAGCCGTAGGAGAAGCCCCCATGGCTGCCCTGCCTGGCTCCATACCCCACCTGGCCGGCCCCAGCCTAGTCCCAGCACTGGGGGAAAAAAAAAAGGCCCACACACACAGGTGGCAGCAGGAGCAGGAGTGGGGATCACCACCCCCCTCCCCCCCAACACCCACAGGGACAGCTGGGGCTGAGCGGTGCTGGGCTCTGGGTGACAGGTGGAGCCACTCCAGCTCCCAGGCAGTGTGCGGCACCCTGATGAGTGCCATGGAGCAGCTGCCACACAGATGCCAAGCGATGGGGGGTGATCCCTGCTGCCCCACACTGCCCCACACTACATGGGGGGGCTCTGCCATAAGTACCCAGAGGCCCCAATCACCACTGCCAGAGCCAGTGAGTGCGGGACTTTTGTTTTGTTTTGTTTTGTTTTGTTTTGTTTTGTTTTGTTTTAAGTGCCGGGAGGCTGGACCAGGTTGTGGATGGGGCTGGGCAGAGCAGCCATGGGGGCTTCTTCTGTGGCTCCTCCTGCTCTGCCTGTCTCTGCCCCAGCCCCCCTCCCTAAGTAACACACCCCTCTTCCCTGGCTGGACAGCTTGTCCCAGCACCAGCCCCAAACCCTCCCTCCCCCACACTCCTTCCCTCCCCCTGCCCCCAACAGACTTACCAGGTGGAGACGGCTGTATCAGCTGCCTGTTTAGTCTATAGACAAATCTCTGAAACAGCCAAATCTTTTCTGAAGCTTTTCCGAATCGATTCAGATGCTTTGATTATATTCAGAGCTTTTAATTGGTCTCTTGATTCAATTCAGATTTGGTCCCCAAATCGAACCAAATCTTCTCCATATTGAATCAGCTACCGAAGCTCCACACAGCCCTACTATTCAGCACTGGTGAAGCCACATCTGGAATTATGTGTCCAGTTTTTGACCCCCCCACTACAAAAAGATGTAGACAAATTAGAGAGAGTCCAATGGAGGGTGACAAAAATGGTGAGGGGCCTGAGGGACATGACTTGTGAGAAAAGATGGGGGAAACTGGGCTTGTTTAGTCTAGAGAAGAGGAAAGTGAGAGGAGACTTAATAGCAGCCTTCAACTCCCTAAAGGGGGGTTCAAAAGAGGTTGGAGCTAGACTGTTCTCAGTGGTGGCAGATGGCAGAACAAGGAGCAACAGTCTCAAGATGCAGCAAGGGAAGTTTAGGTTGGATATTAGGAAGAATTTTCTCATGAGGAGGGTAGTAAAACACTGGAACAGGTTACCCAGAGAGGTGGTGCAAGCTCCATCCTTGGGGGTTTTCAAAACCCGGCTAGACAAAGCCCTGGCTGGGATGCTCTAGTTGGGGTTGGTCCTACTTTGAGCAGGGGGTTGGACTAGATGTGACCTCCTGAGGTCTCTTCCATCCCTCATTTTCTATCATTTGATGTCCATTTGCATCTGGTCATTGCTGACCCTCTCTAGAGACTCTCTCCCACTGGTCCACATCTAACCCCAAGCACCACACACAGCATTGTGCAAGCTGCTCCCTCTGAGAAGAGCTAAGTAGAATGAAAGGATTATTTCATTCATTTTACACATCTGCTCAACACAGGAGACACTCCCTTCATACCTCCAAGCAAAGGTGCTGGCTTTTCTGCAATAAGAAGACATTGCCTCACACTTCACTCATGCCCTACTAAAAACCCTAATACTTCCCTGCTGAGCTGCTATGTAGGTAGTCACTCCCCTTCTTGGACCTGTGCAACTGATTTAATCTTCCCCAGGTGTACTTCCCTGCTCCTGTCCTGGCTTAATTTCACCTTCAATATTTCAGACCATTTTCTCTGCTATTTTAGCAGGTGATGTGGAACCCTAGCTGCTGCCCCTTCAGCACTCCCAAGTCCTACCCACTTGGTGCCAAATGCCAAGTTAATAACTCCACTCTCTATCCCATCACCCAAGGCGTTAACCAAGCTGTTGAACATTACATGAATGAGGTTGGGATACTGAAGTATCCACAAGCTTCCCCTGTGTGGTATAGTTTCACGCAGCAGAAGACACTGCCATGGTTGTGTAGTTTTCTCACAAAGAAGAGTAAATCCCATGGACCAGTGCCTCGGCTGCTATGGACAGATGTTGCTGTGCTCAACACAGTTTGACTCCTGATTAGTAGCTGACTGGCATTTCTACCATGTGTATTTGTGGGTATGCATGAACGTGTGTCTGTGTGTTAAAGTCTGTGAATGTGTGTGTGTGTTTCTGTTAAGGTCTGTGTTTGTGCTCCCCAAATGTGTCAGGGATCTAAAAGCCTACCCTTCTGACATCCTAAGTGGACTTAGATATTACATATGGCAAGAAGTCAGACTACAAAGAGGAAGGGAAGAGGCAGCCAGAAATAAAACAAAAAAAGGGAGCTAATCAATACAGCCCGAAGGCAACCTTCATTCCTTGAATAATAAGTTTTATTATTACTCTTTTATCCAACAGAAGAACAAAGAATGAGAACAGAAATGATCCTTAGTAAAGATTTCATCACACTTGCACAGTGGGCACATCTTCAGGGCAGGTTACAGACAATCAAAGATGAAAGAAAACAGGAAATTACAATCTGTGAAACAAGACCAGATGACCAGTAGGCACTGGGACCACCTTCATAATGGGACGAGTAGAACATGAAGGTCTTCTTGGAGCCGTGTCTCCTACTTGGGGTACTGTGGGTACTTGGGGTACTGTGGGAACTTGCAGCACTGCGAATACTGGTAGCCTGGGTAGCAGCAGGACACGGGTGGACAGTAGCGCTGCACGGGGCAGCAGTATGGCTTCTCTACCACAACGATATTGCAGGAGGGTCTGGATTCATGGCAGTGAGAGCTGGAGCCATGGCAGGACCTGTGGCGGTTGTGGCAGGACCCGTGGGAGCACATCTTTCTGGCGTAGGCAAAGCTGCAAGAAAGAGACCGTCTGTGAGAGAGGAACCAGGAAGGACCTGCCTCCATCTCCCTTTCCTGTTCTCTGTAGAGCGCAGAGAACTCTTTTCCCATCCATTTCTGGCCTAGCGGAGACGTGAATCCCATGAGGATGCTTCTTAGAGCACGTCTAGGAGGTCTCCCTGCTGACCCAGGGACTCCAGCCAGTGAAAAAACCCTGCCATGGAGGGAGCACTTCCCATGGAGTGGGTCTGGATTTCTGTTTTCCTGCTGGCCACCCTGCTTTGGGAGCTCCCAGCCTTCAGCCTTCCCATCTTGTGTGGTCCTGCTAGCGTGGTCAAAGGGTCTGTGGCAGCAGGTCAAGCACACACTCAGGCAGTAACAATGTGGCTTTGGGAGAAGACCCTTCTATGAAATGATGCAAAAAATCAGGAGTCTGCACCGAAAACATCATGTGAAACCTTCTGCTCGGGAAGATTAGGATAGATGCAAATAATCAGACTTACCTTGTTTGAGAAGAAGGCCTGGTGCAAAGGAGCAGCAGTGAGTGAATGAGGAGCACTGCCACCGGGGCCCTTTTATCCAGGTGCAGCCCGTTCTGCAGGAAATGAGACACCTGCTGGCGATATGGCCTTAATTCTTCACATGCCAGGGCCCACGTGTGTCTTCTAGATCTTTCGTCCCACTTTGCTCCTTGACGTGCATTCTGGTCCATGATAATTTTAGCACATTGCTAATTAATGAATAATGAATCCCGGCAGTCAGGCAGTTCAAAAGATATTTCCACATTTGCCTCCCAGCAGCAGGCTTTGGTCTCTGGGCACGTTGTGGCCTAGAATTGTTTTTGCTATGTCTCGTGGAAAGGTGATTTCCAGCTACAGCTCATTTGCATGGCATTTGGGGACAGGGCAGTCAAGCAGTCTTGTTTAGGGGCAAAGCCCCGATGAAGGATTGTCTGAGCCCAAAATAGAACGAAGAATTTCCAGAGTCCAGGTCCCATGTCCTGACGCTGAACCGTTCCAGCTTCTAGTATGTGCAGATCCCTCCCCTGGTACAGCCTTGCAAACCTGGAGGAGAACCAGCCATTTCAACAGTAGACCATCAGCTGCTCTCCGCAGCAGAGTTGTGTCGAACATCAAGTATAAAACTGGAAATTGGGACCTGCTTAATTCTGTTCTTAGCTCTGACGTGTCCTCATAGGGAGCCCCTGGGCACAGCACCCAAAGGTCAATGGCATGCGAATGAAATGCACCATGTAATTACACTGCCTTATGATATTAAAAAAGACCTTGAGCTCTGCCTGCTCCAAGGGCTTAGCACACTGCTCCAAGTCAACACGTGTCACTTGCAAACGTTCCCTCCACTGGCTCAACCTGGGTCGTCCACGGGCATGGCATGCCACAGTGGCACAATTAGCACTGCTCAACACACCACTGTGCACTCCCGTCATCTCACGTGCCACGGGAAGATCCCTTTGCTCTAAATCAGCCTTAGGATTAAGTTATTGTAGCACAAAGGATGAGTCAAAGTGTGGATGCCGGAAGAGGGACACATGGAGACATGTGTTTAGGAAATTAAAAAATTAGCTGGGCATTGCCAAGGGCTGTCACATTCCCCAGACCTCCGCTCGCAAGCGTATAAAAGCTCTCCCATCCCAGCACATCTCATTCGCTCACTGACACTTCTGAGACCTTGTCCTTGTAGCTGAGCAAGGTAAGTCTGATGACAACTTTTAGATGATTCTTTTTATTATATTAAAGCCAGAGTCCTGGATTCATTCCCTGGCTCTGAACCATAAAAGCATTAGGGTAAGATCTACTGGGCAAGGTGACTGTGGGTTTAGAGCTGATTCTTGGGATGACTGGGCAGTTCTCCCAGGATGAGATGCTGTGGCAGGGCACTGTGTGTGCCTGCCACTTTAAGGGCCTTGAGGTGGCAGCCACCAGGTGCCTGATGAGGGCAGCCATTTTGGAGTCAAGGGCTTCCAATATAAACACGGCAGTTTGGCTGCTGGGGGTCAGGCAACAACATTGTCTGGCTGGAGGGCTGCTGAGATCTACATCTGGAGGTAAGGGAGGAGCTGTAGGGGATGGTAAGGAGGCTCCTGGTCCTGGTCCTGACCTAAAACTGCACCCTGCAGGGAGTGGGTGGCCTGGTGGGGCTCTCAGTGGCGCGGGAGCCCCCAGGAAATGCCAGGCCAGTTACCACCCCTGTGAAAGGTGGGTCGGGGCACCTTAAGCCCTAGCCCCCACCACCAGGTGGGTAATCCCTGGGTTTGTGAAGGGCCCAGAGGGCAGACCCTGGGAGAGAGTGAGGGGCTAGAGACCCGACCCGAATAAGAGAGTCCCCTTGACTGGCCCATGCTGGGGCCAGGACCAGGATGGCCAAAAGGGCCAGGGGCCCACCGCGAGGGACGCCCAAGAGCCGGGGGCCTGGGGTCCCGACTGGCCTGGAGGTGGGCCAGGGCTAGTAGCCAGAGGTCCTGGGGGGACCACACCCGAGAGGGGGAAAATGGTTTTGGGGGGCTAGTATCCTGAATGAAAGTGGAGAGGCCGTCTGAGTGGAGGGATCATGGAGGGGTTCTGTTAGGAGGATTCTGGGGGCCAGCGTGGGGGCCGGTGATTATGTGAACATCAAGATGCCATCTGTGAGGCTTGGGCTGCGGTATAGGGGAGGAAAGGAGCCGCAGAGAGTGGCCCCTGGCATCGGGGCACTAAAATGGGCAGCCTTCCGCTGAATTGACATCCATTAATGAATCAATTAACATCAAGGCGTGGCGGGGGAGAAGGCGGGCGGTGGGCCCAAGAACAGGTGGGCGGGCCACAGAGATCGGCCCTGAGCAAGCCCCCTGTTACAGATGCCTTGGAGTTTGAAGGCATCGGATGTGTCGGAGCAGTGTTGCATCGAGCTGGGGAAATCCACACCTCTGTGAGGCCACGGCTTGGGGCAGGGATGACTAGATGAGCTCCCAGGAAAATGGTGCAACTTCTCTGTGGCGTTCACATACGTGGTAGCTGAGATGGAGGAAAAAACTAGCTTTTAGGTTCTCAGAAGACTAGGAAAAGGGAAAGGAGGCAGCTCTTCATGGTTCCTCTCTCACAGACAGTCTCTTTCATGCAGCTTTGCCTACGCCAGGAGGATGTGCTCTCGCGGGTCCTGCCATGGCTCCAGCTCTCACTGCCATGAGCCGAGACCCTCCTGCAACATTGTTGTGGTAGAGAAGCCGTACGTGCAGGCCTGCTGCCCCGTGCCATGCTACTGTCCACCCATGTCCTGCTGCTACCCACGCTACCAGTATTCGCAGTGCTGCAAGTTCCCACAGTACCCGAAGTAGAAGACACATCTCTAGGAAGACCTTCATGTTTTGCTCTTCTCTACAAAGACCATTCCAGTGCTCACAGCTCATCCAGTCTCATTTCAGAAATTGTAATTTCCTGTTTTCTTTCATATCTAAATGTCTGTAACCTGCTTTGAAGATTTGCCCACTGTACAAGTGTGATGGACTCGTTACTAGGGACCATTTCTGATCTCATTCATTATTCATCTTGTGTCTGAAAAATACTGATTTCTGCTTGGTGAAATTCTTCACTTGTTTTCCTACTTTTGCCTTCACTTGGATATATGACACAATAAAAGTTACTATTCAAGTAAAGAACTTTGTTTTAAGTTGCATGGGTTTTTCACTCTTTCTAAGAAACACCTTCATTTCTAGCTCCTCCTTCCCCTCCAATTCATAGTCTAATTTCTTGCAATGCATAATGTATCACCCACTTAGGGTGCAGGAATGTTAAGTGGGCAGATCAGTGACATTTTTGGTAAGTGCACACAGATATTAACATACCTGCACATCCATGCACACATGTGCATGCACACAGAAGAGGTAGACATGCTGGGGTGGTGCTAATCAGGACAGTTCCTTTGACTTTGGTACTGAGACACCTGTTCACACTGGCCAAGGAGCTGGTTACACATCATTTTTGCCCCACTGTGAATAATATACAAAAATTAAGTCCAGGTCTTCTGTTGTGTGAAACAGCACAGCTCCCTGGAAGGCAATGGAGTCTTTGCAGGGACCTGCCCCATGTCTTGCAGTGTTCAGTACAGGTTTCCCTTGCCAACCATGGGGATTAGGTTCCTAAAAGTTCCTGTGGTTGGCAAAACCACAGTTGGTAAAACTAAAGGCTTATGGGAAAAATGTGGTTAGGGGCTTGAATACTGTACAGTATAGTGTGTAAAAATAATTTTTACTTTAATATATGGAGTGGTCAACCGGGTATAGGCGTACCCCTAGGGGTACTTAGACAAGTTATAGGGTGTACTCACTGGTGGGTGGGGACAAAGCGCGCACAGGGCGTGGTGGCAGCATCTCCCCTGGCGTATTCACCTCTTACCCAGGGGAAGGGGAAGGGAAGGGAAGGGGAGGCAAACAGGCCTGCTGTTCCCTGTTGCCCTGCTTCCCTCCCCTGTGAGCCGGCATGGCAGGGAGCAGATAAGCTCCTGGGGGGATCTCCTCGCCCACTGCTGCTCGCCCTGCATTGCCCTAGTGATGCACCTCCAGCATGCGGGGCTGCGAGCAGCAGCGGGCGAGGAGATCCCTGCACGGCTTCTCTGCTCCCTGGTGCACCAGGTTGTGGGGGAGAGAAGCACAGCGAGAGGGAACAGTGGCGAGCAGGCCAGCTGTTTCCTGCCACTGCGGGGAGGGCAGCTCCCTGCCACCGTGCGTACCTCTGGCAGGGTTGGGGGAGCTAGGGCTGGGGGCAGGGGGCACGGAAAGAGAGGCACAAGCAGGGTCAGGGACTGGTGGGCTGATCCATGTCCATGGAAAACCGTCGTTACTTCAAAACTGTATACTGTGCTAGCCAAAATGGTATACAGAATATTACCTATGGATCCTCAAAACAATGGTTGGCAAAACTGTGGTTGGTGAGAGAAACCTGTAGTTTCATTAATACTTTGGGTGATGGTGTAGGAAGTGGCCTTACCAACCTGGCAGTTGTCATCAAGCCAGGGGGGACTGCAAGCCCTTTATCAACAACTATTAGGATTCAAAATTCCCTGGTAATTATTTTTTTTTGCCAAAGGTATATGGTCTGAAAGTACAATTTAATAGGGAGAAGTGCTGGGAATGATATATTAGTAGGAAAACTCCATTGCACAAATCCAGGAGAGAAAGAGAGAGCTTAGGCAGCAGCTTTGCAGAGAAGTTTTCAAGGCTCGTAGTACTACACAAGCAGAATATGACCCAAGAATACGTTATTATTGTGAAAGAAAACCACTGCCTTGTTGAGATGTTTAAAAGTAGTGTCTTTGGTAAGACATGAAAAGTAATCCTTCCAGTTACTCAGGTGCAATATCGTGCACGATGTTGGATATTCCCCCCACAAATACCTTCAGGCTGCTATGCACAGACACACTTGGTGTGAGCCAGAGTCACTGTCCCAGTGGCCTGTTTAGTAGGGCCGTGTGAAGCTTTGGGTGCTGATTCAATTCGGAAGAGATTTGGCTGGATTTGGTGGCTGAAGCTCTGAATCTGCTTTGAATCCGGAGACCAATAAAAAGGTCTGAATTGATTTAAAGCTCTGAATCAATTTGGAAAAGATTCGGAGAGCTTCAGTGATTTGGGCAGTCCCTGCTTTCTGCTGCAGAGAGCTGGACCTGGACTCTGAGCTGGTAAGTGGGGCTTGGGGGAGGGGGAGGGGGAGTGGAGGAGGTGGGAGGGGACCATGGGGGAACCCCTGCCAGGACCCAACCCCTGCCTACTCCCCAGCCCCCTGAGTGTCCTCTGACCCCCGCTTGCCTCCCCCATGGCTGTCCCACTTGGCCCCTGCCCTCCAGGTCCCCCATGGCGGACCCAGCTCCCGGTTCTTAGCAAAAAATATAAAAAAGCCCATTTCATCAGCTGCTGCAGCAGCCTTGGGCCTTCTGGGTGCTCATGGCAGAGCCCCCCATGCAGCACGGGGCAGTGGGAGGCAGCAGGGATCCCCTCCTCCTCACCTGGCAGGAGCTGGTAAGTGGGGGCTTTTTTTTTTTTAAAAGAACAGGAGCTGGGGCTCCCATGGCTCCATGGGTCTCACTGCCATGAGTCCAGACCCTCCTGCAACATCAATGTGGTAGAGAGGCCATCCAGTCCCACATGGCTAAGAGTTTGGATTTTTCACCGGACTTTGCACCTCTTCCATTGACTCAACACTTGTTGTCTATTGGCCAATCAGTTGCTTCACTTCCTTGGAATGAGTGCTGCTATGTGGGATATGAACATGCAGACAGGTTCTGAATTTGTTTACCTATGGGCTTCATTATCTGTTAATCAGTTTTAAATTGCAATGATATTAGACTAAAAATTGTGTGAAAATGTGAAGTGGAAGATGAATACAGTAAAAAGACCAGAGCTTGGGCATGCAAAGAATTAAGTTCACATTGCCAATAGGAGTCTCATTCCCACAGAACTGGGTATAAGTGCTTTCTTATATCAATGATCCTCATTCACTCGTTGGTGCTCCTTTGCTTCAGACC